AAACTATTGATCAGATATAGAGGTAGAAGGATGACTTTTTCAGATAGGCAAGGACCCAAACACTGTCCTTCCCATATGCCCTTTCCCTGGATTTATTGGAGGATGTTCTCCAGTGAAACAATGGCATAAAATAAAACACAGGAAGACTTGGGACCCAGGAAACAGAGGACCCACTCCAGGCCTGGGGAAGGACGGCCAGGATGGGGAAAGGGGTCCCGTGCTGAGGACTGTGGATAAGGCCAGGTCCAGGCTGGAGTAGAGGGTGAAGGGTGGCTATGGGGAGATCCCAGGACAAACCACAAAGACCAAGCTGAAGAGAGGAATGGGTGAATTACCCGATGCATATGGAAATGGATATGGATGGGCTTGCATCTGGGAATGTGTAGAAGCTCTTGGGGAAAAAATGATGGGCACATAGAAAACAAACAGGTAACAGCAAGGCGATCATTACTTTTAGGTAAAATGAGTGGTTGTCTAAAAAGGGAAGCACAACCAGAGGATGCTGCTTGGATTCATCATAATAATGCAATGCTGGTGGCTGTGGCTTTTAACCAGAATTGGGCTTACCGCCATTTCTGGAAATGGGAAAGTGTGGAGACCTTAATCTCTGCCCAACTCAGCTGAAATTCAATAAATCTAAAATGGATATATCAAGGAATAATGCCTGGTGCCAACGTATTTGGAAATAGGCAAAAAACAAAAAAAAACCCTGCTAAAACTGTTGAAGGTGGTGGGACTTGGGGGTGGGTTTTTCATAATAAGTCTCTTAGAGGGCAGCCCTGGTGGCTCAGTGGTTTAGCGCCGCCTTGAGTCTAGGGTGTGATCCTGGAGACCCAGGATCGAGTCCTACATCGGGCTCCCTGCATGGAGCCTGCTTCTCCTTCTGCCTGTGTCTCTGCCTCTCTCTCTCCCTGTGCCTCTTATGAATAAATAAATAAAAGGCTTAATGTTTAAAAAAAAATAAGTCTCTTAGAACCATCTGAAGTCTCTTAGAACCATCTGACTTTAAACTGCATCATGTATTACTTTGATAAAAGTGTTAATTAATTTAGGGGTGCCTGCACTCAGTAGGTTAAGTGACCAACTCTTGATTTCAGCTCAGGTGATGATCTCAGGGTCGTGAGATCAAGCCCCATGTTGGGCTCTGTGCTGAGTGTGGAGCCTGCTTCGGATTCTTTCTCTCCCTGTCTCTGCCCTCCAACTCCTCCCCTCACCCACCTATGTACTCTGTCTCTCTCTCTCTAAAAAAAAGTATTAATGCTTTAAAAAGTAAATAGAACAGTGCCTGGAGGAAGCATGAGTAAACAGCTCATTTATCTGAACAATTCATATTCTGGTATACCGCATGGATGGCTCCCAGGGAAACAGGGAGGGAGCTGATATGAATCCTGCACTGGGTAAACCCAAGTCCCCATCTATCAGCATCAGGTCCAGGCGGTGTGTCTGGCATGGGCCTCTGGGCTCTCCAGGCCCCCGAAGTGCTGGCAGGGGCAAAACACAGAAACTCTCAGCCAAGACGAACGACTTGGGTCTGGATCCCAGTGAGCAGTACTTCCACTATAGGCGCTCCTAAAGCGTCCAGCACAGGTGCTAACCAACCACACTCATGCTTCATCTTCCCAAGAAGGTTGCAGGTTGGGTCTTTTAAAGATTTATTTGTACATTTTAGAGAGAGAGAGAGAGCGTGCACCAGCGAGCTGGGAGAGAATCTCAAGTGGACTCAGGGCTCAATCCCCCGAACCTGAGATGGTGACCTGTGCCAAAACCAAGAGTTGGATGCTTAACCCAGCACACCCCCAGGCACCCTGGTTGGGTCCTTTAATGTCTTTGTTTAACCAAAGAGGAAAATGAAGCTTGGCGACATCACAGGAGGTGTCCACATTCATTGCATTTATCACGCAGCAGAGCTAGGACAGGAGCTCCAACCTGAAACTCCCAATCAACTGTGCTACTGGGCCTCCCACCGTGTCTGCATATTTACAACTGTGCAAACTGGGCCGCATGGTCTGTTCAACCACTTTCAGTCCTGGGTCCTTGAGGAAGTCACTTAACCTCTCTGACATCAGTGTTTTTCTCGGTGAACTAATGATTCTGGCTCAACCTCCTCATTAGGCTCAAATAAGATAATATATGTGAAAGTTTTAAAGAAGCTTGAGGTGCCAATTTAGGCAGATGAAAATATTATTTTGGATGCTAGGAGGGAGACAGGTGGTCTTGTGACCCTGGTTGGTATCCTGTGTAAATTCAGGGAAGCCAACTCTAGTAGGGATCCCGAGAAGAGACGGTTCTGGATCAAGGACGGCGGCCAGGTCAGCAGGCAGGTTGATGCTGTGGGTGCCTTGCTCCTAAACGTGGCTGGCTCTGCACGCATCACCACCTCCACCCAGAGGACCTATAATATTTTATTCTGGGGATTTCTTCTTTTTTATTTTCTGTGACTCCGAGACTCTTCTGTGTTCAGAAGCACTGCAGCCATAAGTTCCAGCTGAGCACTTGTGCCTGGACTGGACTGAACAACCCTGAGTGAGACACTGTTTCTCTCCTTTTACCCCGGTGTCTGTACAAGCACGATTTGGGGTCACTTTTTCACTTGTGGATTGAGCTGATTCCCAGTCCTGCGGCTGGAGTTTCCAGACATTTGTTGCCCCAGCGTGCCACCTGGTGGACAACTTCCCGTTTTATTTCTCAACTTTCTCAAAGTGCCTTCACACGCATTAAAACCCCTGAGACTCCTGCAATCTGCGAGCTCTGTAAGGCTGGTATTATTTCCACGCTGTAATGAGAAAACACGCTTATAGACAGGAAGGAATTTGCAAGTTCCTGGAACTGCCTTTAGGGTCTTTTTCTTCCATTCAGCAAAAACCCAAAATACCGCAGTCTGAGTGGTCTGGGTTTGAGCCCAGTTTAAGTCCTAGCTCAGCAACTGTCACCAAGTGAGGTCCTCTCACAGAATTGAACTTGATCCCTATGAGGCCCTTCATCACTGCGGACATCTGCGTGTGGAGGGACTATTCTGTGCACAGAATGTGCTGAAGTACCTCTTTTTCAGAAGAAAAACTGATGGCTGAAGTCCCAATCCAACTCTTGGGTGTGGTTTGACGTTTGGTGGGCTTCTTGCAATGCCCCCCACTGAAGAGGGTTTAGTTAAACATGAAAATATAGGCAGTGGGACCTCCTCAGACTTCTTCCTTGGCCTCTGACCACTTTTACCACAGGGGCACTCAGCTCTGAAGTCCTCTGTGGTTGTGGGGGCCTCCTCCACTCCAGGGAGAGCCTGCCCTCTGGGGCTCAGAGCCACCTGGTGGTTGAGCTCCGTGACCTAGAGTCAGGTTGCCAGCTTTGGCTCCCACAGGCGCTGCCATTCAGAAGATGTGTGACGTTGGGTGAATCTAACTTCCCTGTGCCTTATCTTCCTTCACAGGGAAACCAGGGACAAAAAGTAGTATGCACCTCAAGTGTTGGGAAGGCTGAGCCATACAACCATACAATGTACAGAAAGCACTCAGCACCCAGCACTCAGCACCGAGCACACCACAGTGGGAATATGCTGTCCTTTTCTGCAGTCAGCCAACCTGAGGTGGTGCCCTGAAGGCTGCATTCATGGCACACAAGGGGCTGTAGCATGGGCGTCTACTTCAAATACATTTTCCCAGGGGATCCCTGGGTGGCTCAGCGGTTTAGCGCCTGCCTTTGGCTCAGGGCGTGATCCTGGAGTCCCGGGATTGAGTTCCACGTCGGGCTCCCTGCATGGAGCCTGCTTCTCCCTCTGCCTGTGTCTCTGCCTCTGTGTGTGTGTGTGTCTCTCATGAGTAAATAAATAAATTTTTTGAAATAAAAAAAAAATTTTCCCAGCAGATGACCTCAGCCCTGGTGGTGTTTGCCATCTGCTCTCCTCAGGGGAGGGGGGGTGTGTGTACTGGAAATGTGTGTGAGCATTTTTGGGTTAGCCAAAGAAAGGAAACACTACTAGAATATGGGGAAATGAGAAGTAGTACAAGGGACTGCCCCACTCAATTAAGAATTGTCCCTGAACAGACATTTCTCTAAAGAAGATGTACAAATGGCCAATAAGCATATGAAAAGATGCTTGGCATCACTAATCATTAGGGAAATGCAAATCAAAATCACAGTGAGACACTGCCTAACACTTAGTAGGATGGCTGTTATAAAAAGAAAACCCTACAAAATATCAAGTGTCGGAGAGATGTTGAGAAATTGGAACCTTTATGCACTGTTGGTGGGCATATTATATGGTGCAGTCACTGTGGAAAACAGAATGGCAGCTCTTCTAAAAATTAAGCATACAATTACCATATGATCCAGCAATTGTGCTTTTGGGTATACACCTGGGAAAACTGAAAGCATGGACTTGAAGAGATATTTATAGACCCATGTTCATAGGAGCATTATTCATAATAGCCAAAAGGTATAAGAAACCCAAGTATTCATTGATAGATGAATGGATCTACAAAATGTGGTCTCTCTATGTAGACCATCTCTCCATCATTCAATACAATTCCAATTAAGGTGGGGTTTTTTTGTTTGTTTTGCGTGTGTTTTTGTTTTGCCACATCTGACAATGCATTTCTAACATTTACCTGGGAATAAACCAAACAGACTTCTATAAATAAATAAAGGAACAAATAAATAAATGAATAAAGAGTTGACTCATCCTTAGGAGACCTATCTGCATGGACCTGTGCATCTGCCCTCCTGGTCCAGGTTTCTTTTTTGTTTCAGTTGCCAGGAGAAGGGGACCCTTATAATCAGGTAAATGCCCACCTCCAAGGAGCCAAAAGTCAGTGATGGGATCAGGAGGGGTCCCATTGTTAAGTGGGTAGTATTACTTTCAGGATGCTCTCATTTATTTAAAGCAATCCATTTATAAATTACATCTACTAATCAATAAAATCACATTGGGGCAACAACTTGGGATTTTCGGCTTTAAATGATACTTTCGGATCTCAGTGGAAAACTGAATGGGAAGAAAGAGTTCTTACCTTGTAGATACAGGACTTAGCATTCAGAAAGAAGAGCTCGATGGTAGCGTTGTCTTTTAGGTATGAGATGCTTTCTATATAGAACCTGAAAGAAAAACTGCAAATGAGCCACAAAAGCAACGACTGATCTTGCCAAAAATGAGCTGTTTTCTGAGCTACAGGATTTGACATAAGGACCAGAACTCCTCATCCTAAATGAAAAAGAAAAAGGTGTGATCAGCTGCTTTTTATATAGTTCCTTTTTGAAAGAAAGCAGTTTTTCAAGCCCTTTTCTAGGCCATTCGGACTGCCACAACCTTGACCTGAGCCAAAGAGCTGGGACTCCCACCAGCTTCCAAGAGGGGGTTAAACTCGACCATCTACTTTTCTTTTTCCTGACCTACTTTCCAATTTTTTATAATATTGTTTTTCATATCTTACTTTATTTTGGTACTAATCATTGTTGAATTAGCTGGATTTTTAAAAAGATTTTATTTATTTATTTGATAGAGAGAGAAGAGCATAAGCAGAGGGAAGGACTGAGAGAGGGAGAAGCAGACTCCCCACTGAGCAGGGAGCCTGAAGCTAGGCTCTATCCCAGGATCAGGACCTGAGCCAAAGGCAGGTCACTTAACCAACTTAATCCAGGCACCCATGACCTGAATTGAAGATTTTATATCTTAAAGATAATTTCTTCTGCTCAACTGAAGAACGGGGGCCCTAATTCTCTTTGAAATGGTTATGACATATCTTCCCAAAGGTGGTGAGGTGAGATTTGATTTCTGTGTATCCAGAGAGCTGTGGCAAGTGCTCTTAATGCTGTGATATTAATGCACATTAAGCCAAATGAGAATTGGATTTTTATCCAGATGGAGCTTATAGATTTTTTTTCATGATAAAACACGCTGAAATTATTTACGTTTACATTTAATGCACCTTTACACATCGACTTTGGAGTTTATTAAATTATGTAATTAGATTAGGCACTTGTGCTTGTCTAGGGACCAGCTGTGTTCAGGGAGAGGGTGATGGAATGCAGAGCCTTGCCAGGAAACAGGCCCTGAGAGGGTGTGGTACCTCCTGTGGGGCCACTGGATACCTGCCTCCTGGAAACTGGGGATACCTTGAGGGGGCGGCAGCAGGTACAATGGGAAGACAAGTGCTATGTTCTTCTAGAACAGCATTACAATATGACGGAAAGAATCCTGGGGAGGAAGTCAATAGACCAGTGATCTGGTCCCAGCTCTGTATGATTTAGGGCAAATTGCTTCATCTCGCTGGGCTTCTGGTTTCCAGACTGCAAAAGACTGTGGGACCCAGTCAGTGTTTCTCCACCTAAGAAGTCTACTGCTGTCCAGCACTGGAAACTCATTCAGATAAGAACAACAATAACAGTAGCAAAAACAACAAGCCAACATTGCACCAGGCTAGCAAAACATACCCATAGGCACGGATGAGCCCATGGCCTACTAGTTGTCTGCAGACTATTAATATCTTGTAATTTTTCCAGTGTGTGCAGACGCTGCCGTGATTAATATCATAGAGATTCATTTAAATTTGTGAGTGAATCCAGAGTGACTTCAGATACTAGCAGATATTTTCAATCAACAGATATTAATAAAATTACCACCACATGAGAGTCTACAAAATGTCTGGAAATTACACTATGGCCTTCACTCTTGCAAAACTTGCGGATGAGTAAGGATCCTTGGTGGACCTCTGCCACTCACATTCTCCCAGCAAGGAAAAAAAAAAAAAAAAGACCACCTACGTCCTGCTTTCAGAGTAGGTATTTCAGGTCATGGAGGCCTCCATAAAGAGTCTGCAGTAGTTCCCGAAGGATCTGCAAAGTGGCACAACTTCCACTTCTCTACTAGTGGAGACTTGAAATGCAGTAGCAAACTCTAGGTCTTTTTTTTTTTTTTTTAATATTTTACTTATTTATTCATGAGAGACACAGAGAGGCAGAGGGAGAAGCAGACACCCTGCGGGGAGCCTGATGTGGGACTCGATCCCAGAACCCCAGGATCACAACCTGAGCCACAGGCAGATGCTGGACCACTGAGTCACCCAGGTGTCCTGCAAAGCCTAGGTCTTAAAGCAAAGTAAGTTACATGTGACTTAATTTTTAAAAAATCCACATTTGTTGTGAAGGAATTTTGACCGGGGATAGTCAGGATAGCAGAATCAGAAGGAAGAAGGAAGGAGTTGGGGGGCAGCCTGGGTGGCCCAGCGGTTTAGCATTGCCTTCAGCCCAGGGCCTGATCCTGGAGACCCAGAATCGAGTCCCACGTCGGGCTCCTGGCATGGAGCCTGCTTCTCCCTCTGCCTGCGTCTCTGCCTCTCTCTCTCTCTCTGTGTCTGTCATAAATAAATAAATAAAATCTTAAAAAAAAAAAAAAAAGGAAGGGGGGGAGAGTGAGCGAGCGAGGAGGGAGGGAGGCCAACTTGCAGGTGCGGCCCCATTATAGAGTCGTCTTGCTTCGTACCTTTGCTCAAGCTCTTGCCCTCGTCCCAGAAACCACCATCCTCCACACCTCAAACCACTCTTGCTCCCTTGCCCTCACCCAGAAACACCATGTTTCCTGATCTCTGCTGACGGCCCAGGGAAGAGCTCCTCTCTCTAGGCTCTTCCTCTGTGTCCCGTACTTTTCTGTTCCCTGGGGCATCTTCTTCCTAGGTGATTAATGCCCCCTCGAGGGTGAGGCCAAATCCCATTCATTTTTTCTGTCTCTCCAGCACTAACACAGCGCCTGGCACACACGTGGGCATAGTTAAGGGTCTGGGAGCAAAAGGCTCTGGTTCTCAGCTTCACTTGTCCTCACTTGCCGCTGAGTGGAGCTCTCAGGATAGGCCAGTGAGGTGGGCAGGGAAGTCACTGCAGGAGAGGGAGGAGCTAAGTGACCCCTACTGTGTCCCCATGCCCTGAAATGCCCAGTGTGTGTGTGTGTGTGTGTGTGTGTGTGTGTGCCCTGCCCCCCTGCCCCTTGCTCACTGTCAACATGACAGGTTGCACAAACAAGCTGCTGATCATCACAAATCTTAAAGCCAGAACTACAGCAGAGGTTTCTGTGTGACTAAGAGAGTGACCTTAGTTCTGCAATAATCATTCAGAGTCTAAATCATCAGAGTCTAAATCTGTTGGGTCTGCTGTCCCGTCATTCTCAAAGCGATGCCTTGTGTCTTTATGGCATTTGTTTCAATTCCTGAGAGTGAAGGAGTGAAGACACCGGCCACCCCTGCCATGCATTTCTCCTCAATAGTATAAAAAGGAAACAGCACTCCCCCTTCTCTCTAGTAACGGACACTGGAAAGGACAGGGCAAGTTTTGTCCTCTGCGGCAGCATTCGTGTCCCCTGCCCACCCCCCCACCCCCGCCCCAGTTACAAGCTGGATCAGAGGCAGGAGGGTAGAGAAGAAAATAAATCACCTCCTCTTGACAGAAACTAGAAAGCAGCTTCCTGTGAACCTTTATCACCGAGAAACAGCCTGGAAAACCGTGTGAGCAGAGATGCCCGGGTGCCTCAGTGGCTGAGTGTCTGCCTTTGGCTCAGGTCATGATCCCCAGGTCCTGGGATCAAGTCCCACATCAGGCTCTCGCAGGGAGCCTGCTTCTCCCTCTGCCTGTGTCTCTGCCTCTTTCTGTGTGTCTCTCATAAATAAATAAAATCTTAAAAAAACAACAATAACAAAAAATCTGTGTGAGCTCCAGGGTGGTCATGTTATCATTCTGTAACCCTGTATTTAACTCATCCAGAACTTTCCATCAGCACCAGGAGACTTGAGAGTCAAAATGCCTGGAGGAAAACAGACCTTCGACATCTCGATCCACACACTGAGGCCCAGAGCGCAAAGTGCGGGAGCCCCAGAGAGAAGAAACTTCTGGGAAAGTGGGAAACATTGATGGTTTGGGTATAAAGTCAGGATTTTTTTTTTTTTTTAACCAGTTGTGTTCTTTTCGATTTTCATGAGAGCTCCTCGTTTTTATCAGCAGGTGGCGATGTTGCTTTTCCTTAATTCCCAGTGCACGGGTTATTGAGGGGTGGGGAGCAGTGCTTCCTCAAAGACCTGGTTCACAAAGAAATTCCGGGTCTCTGGGTAAACCTAAGGAACTGAATGCTTTCTTGTTGATTCACAGGGTCTGCACAGACAATTCCAAGTGTGGCTCCAGATTAACCAGGGGTTTCTGGTACTTTGACATCTGGGGCCTTGGTGGCTCTGGAGGGACGGCCCCTCCCAGGGTTGACCAGTTCCTTAGAGGTGTGAGCTTGCCCTTCATGTGCAGACAGGCCTATCTAGAGAGCTCACACACCCTTCCTGCTCCTTTGTGGGGCTCTCACACTCCAGGTCATTACCCTCCTGCCCTAATCACCCCAGAGCCAGGGCCAGACAACTCTGGACAGCCTCTATGCCCCATAGCCTGCTGAAATTATTCAAAGTAGTCAATCCTAAACCTGATTACTCTGCCTCACCCGTTCCTTCCTGTAGAAACCACAAAACAAAGGCTCTTCCCCACAATTCCCTCCCCTCCCTCTGCCTCCTGACCAACCCTGGGGAGTCCCTTCTGGCCTTGCCTGGTGTGGCGAGCCCTCTCTTCTCCTTTTGGGAACTGTAAATAGCAAACTAGTCTTTTCAATGGCCACCATCCCCTCATGTTTGTTGGGAGTACCCATACCTGAGTAAGAATAAAACTTAAGCTTTAAAACGGGTTCTTCAGCAGGACTTAGCAGGACTGGATCTGATAGCTTTTTTTTTTTTTTTTTTTTTTTTTTGAGTCAAAGGGCCAACCTGTGTTCTAGGACAACGGCAAATCTGGCTAAGTCTAAATCTGTTTCTTGAATACCATAAGCAATGTCACACCCAACCTGGCCCAGATGATGTGGACCTGAGGTATTTTATCAGACGGTCTGAAGAAGGAATAAATACGTGTGTGAGCACAAAGATAATCAAGAGGCTCTGAAGCCTGAAGGCAGTCTCGCCCCCTTTAACCCGTGGACACCTCTGGCTGCAGCAGCTTGAAGTGTCCAGCCACAGGACACCAGTCAGGTTTCCTTCTCTCAACTGCCCGCTCCTCCTCTTTCCTCTCACATCCACCCCTTGGCACTT